TGGAAATGCCAGATAGGGACCAGCACAGAGTAGAGACTCAGAACTAATCCCTCCAACTTCACAAGGCCATTGAGAAAGCCCATGTTGTGCATAGATGCCGTCTCCAAACTGCAACGCACTGTGCAAATGTTAGCAATGAAGATGAGGCCATGGGGCTCATTTTCATCTCAGGATCCCTCCTCTCACTCCCGGGGATCCAGGTTTGAAGTATGCACCCTTAACTTTCACAAATTGATCCAACTAAGTACCATTCTAGACTCTGAGCAACCCTGCAAAGCCAGCCCTGCCATCCGCAATGGGGTGTCAGCACTTACGGAGAGAGCAGAGAAATGCCTGGGAGAATGGCAGGTATGAAGCAGCAGCAAGCTTGTCCTGACAGTCCGGATTTAGATAAATTGTATTTTCTGGCTGGAGACGATAAGACGTAAATTTGAAGTGTGTGTTACACTTACCCATCATTATGCCCCAAAATGGGGAAGGAGAGAACTGCATCTTGTCCCACGTTTGTAGCAAAATTGCACTATGTGTAAATAGCTCTCAGGCCTTTGATGTTGAACTGAGAGGAAAATAACCCTCCCAGAAGAGCTGGCAGGAGCAGGAGGACTCAGCGGCCTGGGGGGCCGGCAGAGGCGTGCAGCCAGCCTGTGCCCTACGGTCTCGGAGCTCCTGCTCCTGCCCCCATGAAGGTAAACTGTCTCAGTTCCAGAAAGGATTATTTCCTCTAATAGCTTCATGGAGAAGCAAGTAAAAATGCTTAGGTACAATTAAGTGGGAAGCTGAGAAGCCACCGCAGACAAAGGGAGGGGAGGGGAGTGGGTCAAGATGTTGGCCTGAGCTTCCACCACAACCAGCCAGGCCAGCCTTCCAAAGGTGGCCAAGGATATGTGGGTCAGCAGCATCTCAGAGCCCATTCATTCATTCATTCACCAAAACAGACAGTTCCTGCCCTCTTCGAGCTTACAGTCTAGGGGAAGACACCCAGCAACTAACCACATCAATAAGCATCTCATTACACACTTTGACATGCACTGTAAAGGAAAACTACAGGGGACATGAGGTTGTAAAACAAGGAGCCCCAACTTACATGAAGGCTGGGAGCAGGGACAGCAGGGTGGGCAGCTCAAGTGAGGCCTCTGAAGAAGCAGTATTTAAGCCAAGGTTGGCCAGGCAAAGGGTGTGAGGAGAACATTCTAGGCAGAAGAATCAGCACATGAAAAGGCCCTGCAGGGAAAAGAGCTTGCTGCACACTCAAGAAGCTGAAGAGACCCATACATGCGTCTGAAGCATGTGAGCGAGGGAAGGAAGGGCGACCAGGGCCGAACCACACAGGGCCCAGTGGGATTTGGGATTTCATCCTAAATGTACTAGAAAGCCGCAAAAAGGTGTGAGTCCTCTTTATGGTGATCATAACTTGATTAAGAACTTGGTTGCCATAGATTGTCACTTGGCTGTCTCTTAGCTGCGGTCGCAGTCACCCGCCAGCTCCCTGCCCCACCACTCTGGTTGCCACTGCCCCTGGCCAAGCTCTGACCTGCATCCATTCACACCCGGCAGGCCTGTGCACCTGGCCCAGCCCCCACCCTCAGGAGGAGCAGGGGGAACAGGTAGGACTGACACCTAGGGCCCGGGATGACTACCTGGCCTGGCAAGGGGACATTCGAAGGTGGGGAGCAAGTCTCTATCACTCCCACCACAAGGATTGCCTCTTCCCTCCTCTAGGGGGAAAGACTTTGATCCACAAGGCTTCAGTGATACCAGCCCTATGCCCAGCACAGAGCAGGCACCCAGTCAATGCTCAGCTGAAAGTAGCAATCCCCCAGATCATCCATTTCCTCTTGTAAGTGGGGAAACTGAGGGCAGCTGGCATAAAGGAAAGCACAGACTGAACTCGGAGTCCAGTTCGCAGATGGACACATCCTTGCTGCACAGCCTCGGTCAACTCACTTCCTCCCTCCCGGGTCTCCACTTCCACACCTGTAAAGTAAGATGGATGCGCGAGACAATCCCGGGGACCCCTTTCAGTTCTCGCATCTGATCATCACCCTCAGAAGCTTACGGAATGGTCAGTACCTTCATCAATGCCACCCAGCTCGTTTGTGGCACAGTTGGGACCACAGCCAACTCCAGGGGTAGACACCACATTCTAATCCCAGCCTAATACTCTGAAGTTAAAGTACCAAATGGGTGCAGGGGAGAGTTGGGAATCTGCAATAATCTGGCGCTAAGTCAAAATGTACTTTTACTTACAAATCTCTTCATATAGATAGGCAATTAATATTCTAAACAGGTTTGGAACCACTCCTCTGCACAGGGGCTCTACAAGGAAATATTCTACTAGAGCACCCCCGAAGCCACTCCAGATGTGTTCAACCCTCTGTAATGGATGTGTTAACTATAAAATGCTCTTATCTATTCATTACAGTGATCACCGAGAGCAGCTCTCCAGGGAACAAGTTCATTAGCCAAGTTCATTCGCTGCATACAATAGTGTTGATAAAGCTCAGTTCTTAAAAATCAAAATCAAGTTCCAGCTGTCCTTCTCCACCGTGAAGCTGAGAGAGTGGGATTTTCTGTCCTGAGATAGTGCAGCTGTCCAGGGACTCAGCCATTTTATACAGTTAAGAAAATATGGAATCTGGGGTTTTGCTGACCTTTCCTACAGGTCCTGAAGGCAGGTTGTAGGGCTTGTACTTCTTTGCAATCCCCATAATCCCTTCATATGGTAGGAACACATGCGTATGAACATTGGTTGGCTGCTAAGAAAAGCAAGGCAGTGAGGAACAATGTATGGCTTGGAAATGCCCCAGTGACAGCACACCCACGAAGAGTATGTGTGTTAGAAAGACATGTGAATGGATTTGAATCCCAGCTTCTCTGCCTATCAGCTGTGTGACTTTAGGCAAATCACTTAACCTCTCTGGCCTTGGTTTCTTCCTCTGCACAATGGGAGCGATAATACCTCCCATGGTCATGGTTGCAAGGGTTAAATGAGAAAACATAGGTAAGCATCTAGCATGGAGCCTGGCACATAGTAGAGGCCCCTCTCCTTTCCTTCCATCTAGCCATCAAGATACTCGTGCAGAAGGCAGCCTCTGGTACTCACCCCATTATCTGCCTGCCCCTGCACTGAAGGATGGGAAGCCAAAGAGCCTCCCGCAGCCTCCACACCATAAGAGGGGACAGAGCAGTGGGAGCACGGCCAGGGAGGCAGCCTGGGCCCAGATCTCAGTGGCTGCAGGCATCCCGTACAGTTGGCCTGGCTCTCTTTCAGTCAGCTTTGCCAGATGTAATTTGGCTTCAGCTTGAGGTTCCAAAGCAGTTATGTAATCATAACAAGCCATAGCATTTGTAGACGCTTTTATAATTTTCAAAGCATTTTTGCATATATTACCTCAGTTGATCCCCTCCATAACCTGGGAAGATAGCTAAGGCAAGGACTAGAACCCCTGTTTTATAGGTGAAGAAACTGAGACTTGGAGAGTTTGTTTGGTTCCCCCAAAGTCACACAACTAAGTTGGACAAAGAGCTCTGCATCCCTTGCCCTGGGCTTTTCCCACAGCATCACCCTGCAACTTGGCGATCATGCTTTCAAAAGCAGAAGTAGGTGGAGCGCCTACCATGTGCCAGTCAGTGTACTAAGTACTGGGATCCAAAGATGAAGAGTTCAGGAGAGCTGCAGTGCCATGCGACAGCTGCTGTGTTGAAGGGAACAGTGAGGAGGGGTGCAACCCAGCTTGGTCCAGGGGCTTGGGAAGGCTTCTGAGAGGAGGAGACGCCTCCGTCCAGAACTGGGTAACAGCTGGACATTGCCCAAGCAGAGAGCTAGAGGTTGTCCAGGCAGAAAGAGGAATGAGTGGAATTATAGGCTACAGGAGCAGCAAATAGAAAAGCCGCAAGTGTGTGCACCAGCAGGGCACATCCAGGGGTGCCTCAAGGTGTTTGATCTGGCTCCACCCACTCACTCACTCACTCATTCATTCATTCATTGGACATACATTTTTGGAGCATCCCATGGGCCAGCACTGTGCTAGCCACTAGGGATAGATACTTGAGTGAACAAGCAGATGTGCCCATGAGCCCAAGGAGCTTACCTTCTCTGGACCCCGACGGGAAGCAGTAGGATGGAGTGGGCAGAGGTCATCGTACAGGGCTAAGTATGCGGGGGCCTGGATTTTAGCCTAAGGGGGCCAGAGAGCCCTGGTGGACTTTAAGCACAGGATTGATGAGAGCGGATTGCGTTTCGGAAAGAGTGAGCTGCACTACCTTGGAGGGTGGTGTGATGCAGGTTATCTGAAAACCAGAGCCCAGCTGAGAAGCTGTGGGAGCTCGGGCGGTGACTGGGCCCTAAGTCACAGCCGTGCAGAAGAGAGAAGGCAAGATGTGAGACAGACGTAGAGACAGCGTGAACAGGCCTGGCTGGCTAACTGGACTTGGGGATGAGGATGAGGAAGAGTGGACGGCCACTCTGAGGGTCTGGCTTGAGCCCCTTCGCTGGTGGCCATTCTAGGGCCTGTGACAGGAATGCAGGAGAGCCATCTGGTGGGGCAGGGAGCCTGAGGCAGATTTGTTCCCGCTGGGATGTGCTGAATGTTGGGGTCTGTGGGTCCCTCTGAGATCACACTTACCAGGCAGTGGGAGCAGTATGTGTGGAGCCCAGGAGAGAACTCTGAGCTGCAGATTGGCAGGTCAACAGCTTACAGACAATGTTTTACACTTGGAAGCGAACAGGACCACCCAGTGGGTGTGTACGAAGGGAGAGGAGACCAGATCACATTGCAGCAAACCCCAAAGGGAGTCCAGATTTGTTCTTTGATGCCAGAATCCCGTTTGGCAAAAGTCAGGCCACTAGCAAGGGTGAGGAATCATTGGTGCCTAGGAGGGGTGGATTGCCTGATGGGCAGTGGGCACTCTGGCCCACTATTGGATTTCTAGGGTCTTGCCGACTTCTGGAGGCCAGTCTGAAGTCACGCATGTGCTTCTCTCTCTTTTCTCTCCTTCAGGTGTTTACAAAATATGGGAAGTGTTACATGTTTAACTCAGGAGAGGATGGCAAGCCTCTGCTCACCACAGTCAAGGGCGGGACAGGCAACGGGCTGGAGATCATGCTGGACATTCAGCAAGATGAGTACCTGCCCATCTGGGGAGAGACAGGTGAGCTGGGCATAGAGCTGGGGGCAGTGGATGGTGGCACAGGGGTGCAGGATTCTGAAAGACTGGTTTGCCTCAGATGTCTTGGCCCACCCTACAGAGGACTGCTCCACATCGAGGGGGTGGTGACATGCCAGTGAGTGGTGAGGATGTCCCCTGAGTAGAGGGTGATGTTCCAGGTTTCCTCAGAGATCACTAGGTGGGAGGGGGCAGGGATGGGAATACTGGGAAGGGAAGGTAGACAGGGGAGGATAGGTGTGCAGAGAAGGCCTGAAGGAAAGTTTGAATTAACAGGAATGCTTCGGCAAGTGGGTGGCTCTATTTTGGAGAAGAGGAAGGAATGGACCAGCCCTTCCTCTCCCAACCATCTTGAATATCCCAGCCCAGTGAGGCGGCCCAAGGAAAGGAAAACAGGCTCCTCCCACTGGAGGCAGTGTTGGAAAGCCAAAGGTCAAGGACTCGGGGATCGGCCCCATGCCTGTGTGAGCCCCTGGGGGTGCCGTGTGGATGGACTCCAAAGCTTACTTCCGCATTTATTTACTTGTTTATTTACTCAGCCAACTATTCATTAGCCATATAAAACTATCTCAGGCTTTGCACCAAGGTAAGGACATTTAGGTGAACATTTAGGACCAAGGGCCATTAGGACATTTAGGGCCAAGTCCTGATGGGAGCCCAGGGGAGGAGCCACGGGGTTACGGTCCGGGGTGACTCAGTGCACCAGCGCCATGGTGAGCCAGCAGCTTCCAGAGGGGAGGGCACAGGGAAGGCATCCTGGTGCAATGGGTATTTGAATGGGGTCCTGAGATTATCCTGCATTTACAGGTAGGCCCTCCCGAGAGGGTGCAGGAAGGTCAGGCAGAGGGAGTGATGTGAGGACAAAGGCAGACATTAGAGCCATGTGGCCACAGGGCCCAGGGATGCTAGCAGCCTCTAGAAAGTCACCAGGTGGAGAAAGTGAAGAGGTGCCCAAGAGTGTGGCCATGGGTGCAAAGGAGACCCCAAGTCAGATTAATGCTCAGGGCATAACTGGGAGGTGCGGGCAGTGGAGGCAAGGGATGGGCTTGGGGGAAGCCACAGGAGAGGGGGAGGGAAGAGAAGCTTCCAGCAGGAGGGGGCCCTGGGCCCTCAGGTGGATGCTGAGGATGGGTGGAGGCCCAGCAGCCCAGCCCCTGCTTCTTGTCACTCCCACCCCGTGACTCTGCAGCCAGGCCATCCAGCTCCAAGGTTTGTACCTCACTGTGCCCAGGCCTTCCAGGCTTCAGAGGGCAGCAAAAGCTTCCACCCTGGGGATGACTGGCTGACAACTGCAAGCTGTCTCCCCGCCAGGCTCTCCCCTAGCATCTCTCACTTGGACGCCCTGCTGGGGCGAGGTGACTTGGCCACGTGCCTCCCTTTATGGTTAGTCCTCCTGCACCTGAGAAGTAAGTGGTCACCGTGCATGTCCTTCCAGTAATGCCTGCCGGCAGCTCCCCTCAGGCTGCAGCCCCATCCACAGCTTGCTGAGGAGATGCTTAACGGATCCCGTCCACATTTCTAAATTCAGTGTCCCTCCCCTCCAGCAAACAGAGGAAGGTTTGTGTGGGTGCTGAGCTCTGACGTCCCTGAGAGCTGGCCAACAGGGCCTGGCTTTCCAGAACATTCCTGAGGCCAGTCCATGTCTGGGACCATGGGGCCTGCAGACAACCCTGGTTCCTGGGCCCCACAGAGAGGCACTGCCTAGGGGACACCAGAACATATTTGCTTATGGATCCACCTGGGGAAAAAGAGAGCAATGAGTAAATAAAAATGAGTCTTGGAGCCCCCATATCCACGGTCCAACCAGAGGTTGGTCATGTCTTTCCATGGTAGTGATGAATTTCCCACCTCAATTCAGGGGTAAAAGCACAAGTACAGACACACAGACACTCACACACCCTCACATACACACACTCTCTCACAGTGCCAGACACACCAGTGCAGACATCTGCACACAGCACGCTCCCCGTGGGGCCTGACCTTGGAGCTGAGTATCACTGCTGACGCACTGGGGTCCAACTCCGCCCTGGAAATCTGCCTTCTGCTGCCTGAAGCCATGGAAGTCAGAGCAGGAAAGAACCTGAGATCATCTATCTCGGTCCCCCACCTCGTTCTCCTGCGGAGGGAGAACTGAGACCTGGCGGGGAGCAATGGAAGTCACGCAGTGAGCTCAGGGCTAAGCCAGGGGCTCAGCTTTTGGACCCTAGTGGACTGAGCTGTACCAATTCAGGACAAATCTATAAGCATGATTAAGGACCTGCTATGTGCCCAACACTGTGTAGGGTATTGTAAGGGAAGCAAAAGACGTGAGACGCTGCCTCTCAGGACCTTAGCAGCTCAAGCCAGACTTTCCCACCGAATCCACAAGAGGACTCCAGTCTCACTCCTGCCAGCGGCTGGAGCTATCCCTCAGGGACAGACCAGCACTTTTTCCTTAAGCCCACACTTCTGGCGTGGGCCAGAGAATAACCTGATCAGAGCTGTCCAACAGAGCTTTCTGCAGCAACAGAAATGTTCTCCATCTGCACTGCCCAGTGTGGTAGCCACAGTTGAGCATTTGCAATATGAGAATGAGGAGATGACATTTTAATATCGTTTCATTTTTGCGGCCGCCCCCCACATTCCTCTGAGGCTGTAATATTCCTCATTCCTGGTCTTCCCCTCATCACAACCTTGAATGATAGGAAGGGATCCTGATCGCCACTTGCCAGGGAAGGAGGCTGAGGTTAGGCGATCTCACCCACATCATGCAGCCAGACCTCTGAACCCTTACCTCCAGGCTTCATCCCCTGGACCTTTCTGCAGGCTGAGAAGTCACTGAGCAGTGAGCACTTTTTGGAGGCTGTGCTCACCTCAAAGCTGCTTGTTTCTTGGGTCAGTGTGGGGTAAGCCTCATATGGGTGGGAGTGAGATCTACACACCTGCTGAAGGATGACAGGTAGGCTCTGGCAGGTGAGGCGTGCTTGTGCCTGAGGCCACCTGGGGAGGCGCGCCCACATCCCTCTGCGGGGTCATTGCCCCCAAGGACAGTGAGTGCATCCAGGCGTGGCCCTGTCATGGTCTTTGGGAGGGAGGCAGCCTCCCCAGTCCGCCAAGCCGTATGGCCTGACAGACACCATCTTGCTCCCCCCGCGTTCCCACCTCCTCTCAATCCCCAAAGAAAGGAGCCCCGGTCGTCAGGAGAAATTTGGGTGATGATGGAGAAGAAAGGATTTGAAATGTGGCTGTTCAGGGAGTGGCCACAGACAGCTTGATGACAGGGGCAGTAAGTAGGATAGGAAAGGGGCATTAGAAAGTCAGACCCCAAGTCAATCCCAGCTCTTCCTTTACTGAGGATGGGGAATGAGCCTTCGTTTCCTTACCTGTAGAATACAGACCAATTAAACAAAACTCATTGACTCTATGGCATAGCTGAAGGATCAAATTTGAGCTCTGCAAATTGTAAACAGTAGCAGGATGATAATGATGAAGAGTAGATGGGGGAATAGTCAAACTACCCCAGAGGCAGATATTTTTCCCAATTCCTGGACCTATAGCAGGGGTCCTGAAGCACCTCAACATCTAGAAGGCTCATTCTGCTCAAAATAGAACCTCTGATACGTTCTTGCCTGGCCTCATGGACAACTTCATTGCTCAGAAATTTAAGGAAGCAGTGAAAGACCCACTCATCTGGGTATAATTCTGACTAACAGGAAGGACTCCTAGTGCCCATGAGTGCATTCAACAAAGGCACCCCTTCGGGTGACCCCAGCTCCATGGGCTCTCACTTAGCAAGTAGCAGTGACTATGAAAATTGTCAAAAGTGTCCTTGCCTCCAGACTAACTATGCCCCACACCAGATGCCCCCTTGATAAAACATCCTTGTGCCAGGCACCCTGGAAATATGGCATTTTAAAGAAGGCAGGCTCAGTCACATGTGGACTACAGGGTGTGCCCCAAATTGAACCCTATGGGATGTCAGAAGTTGGGAGTGTTACATGTTACAGGAATGGAAAGGACCTGGGGAACCCTGATGAGATAAAGCTAAACAACACATTTGTGCATTGCAGGAATTCTTTAATATGTTACCTCATGAATCTCAAAGATAGGAATCTTGCATGCAGCATTTATTTCCCAAATGCCTTTGACCCTGGAAACCTGCTTTTTCATGGAGAAGCTTGCAAAGTAGAAAACGACAGAAAAGCTGTCCTAGGCTATAGAAGTGCAGATTTCATGGCCAGCGTTTTCTAAAGGAAATTCAGTTGAAGGCAGGTGGGAGGTTGTTAAAAATGAAACTCTGTGTAGATGTCTCTGAGTAACTTCAAAGATAAAAGAAATAAGCAGTGGCTTATCTAGGTTGCACATGAGAGAAACCAGATTCAAACAAGTTTAGGCATAAAAGGAATTGTAGTGCCCCAGGAATCCAAGACAAGCTTCAATGACCAAACAGTGGGAGGACAAGGAGACAGCATCAGAAACAACTGGAACCGAGGGCTCAGGCCCCCTCAAGACTTTCCTCTCTTGCCTCTTCTCTCTTTGAAGTGCTTTATACTCTCTCACCAAGTCAAGCCTTTTCCACACATACATATTTTTTCACACATGGCTCCAGTAGTTTTATATTTTACACATCCTACCACCTGCAAGAGACTTCTGAGTCTCTCACGCATCTCCTATTTAAAAAAAAAAAAAAAAAACAGGGAAGAGAACGGTTGGCGCAGCTCAGTCAGGCACCCACGCCTGGACCAATCAGCACTGACCAGCAACACAAGTTTTCAGCACAGGATGGCCTGGAGGAAGCTGGCTGGCTGGCAGCCAGGAAGGCATTCCCAAGAGTGAATGGCCCCCTTGAATGGCCGTGCTGGACAAGGTAGGCACAAGGGTGAGGGTTGGGGGTAAGTTACATCTGAGGAAGCCAGAATCAGTGTGCAGGTAGCTCTCTAGTGAGCTCAAATTCTATACAGATAGGCTCCAAAGTTGGAAAGATCACAAATAGAGTCCCTGCCTTT